TTGTACAAACTTTTCCAAACTCCCTATCTTCTTAATCACATCTTCTTAAATTTGATTTGTTTTAATTAGCATACAAAGTAAGATACTTTTTGATGCCGTTTTTACAGTGTACTTTGGTTGATCATGCGTGAGCTTTTCTCTTCCCCTGTATTGTGTGCTCTTCTGTTCCCAACGGCTCACTTTTCATCTTGTCATGTTACATGATCTGTTCTTGCTTTACAGCTAAAGTGTCTTAATTTTATATGACAGGGGAAAATAAGCATTAAAAGGCAGAGTGGCAGAGTTATAAAATATTATTTGAGCAAATAATCTACCATATACGTGCATCCTGAGTGTGGAAATGATCTCATCTGATTATTGAATTCTCAAAGGTGATGTGTGGTTAATGCAACTCAGTGTAGAAAGTTGAAGCATGTCAGAGCTCAGTTCCGTGAACTTTAGTCATCTTTTCCCCTAGTTTTATTATTAAATGGAAATTAGTGACTTAAAAATATGGCGGTGTAATTTTTAGTGGGCTTTTAAAGAGAAACTACGTGAAGAGCCCACATAAATTTATTAGTTTGCAGATAAGCTGGCTTATTGATGGAATACTCCACTTCTCCACGTGCACGTGCAGTTTGATAACTTGGTTAGCACTGTTCGTCACTTTGCAAAAACATGAAATATATCCAATAATATCAGAATATTGTCCTTGTCAGTTTGTTGTCCGCTTGCCGCAGCTAAAGTCATCTGGGAGGAGGACCCTCAGCTGAGACAATCCTTCCATCAGATTGCCGTGCGCGCGTGTGCGTGCACATATTTGTCAAAGTAGGGCATTGAAAACCTTTTCTCTTTATTTTTTGAATGTTTATTTTACATATGAGTGTAAATATTTATTTATTTTACATATGAGTGCTCCATCTTCACACACACACACCAAAGAAGGCATTAGATCCATTGCAGATGGTTGTGAGCCCCCATGTGGTTGCTGGGAATTGAACTCAGGTCCTCTGGAAGAGCAGCCAGTGCTCTTAAGTGCTGAGTTATCTTTCCAGACTGAGTTTTCTTTTCCTTCCTTCCTTTTATTCCTTTTTTTTTTTTTTTTTTTTTTCCGAGACAAGGTTTCTCTGTGTAGCCCTGACTGTCCTGGACTGGACTCACTTTGTAGACTAGGGTGATCTCAAACTCACAGAGATCCACCTGCCTTCCCAAGTTACGGGATTACAGGTGTGCACCACCATGCCCGACTGGGCATTTTCTTGATTGATGATTGATGTGGGAGGGCCCAGCCCGCTGAGGGTCGAGGTGGTTTTAGGTGGCATAAGAAGGTGGACCGAATCAGGGTTTCACCATGGCCTTGCTGCAGTTTCTGTTTCCAGGTGTCTGCCTGGAGTTCCTGTCCCGACTTCCTTCTTGATACACTTGATACCCTGTGCACTGTAAGGTCAAGCAAACCAATTTCTCCTTAAGTTGTTTTGGTTCATGCTGAAGTAGGCTAACTCTATAAAGAAAAGAGGTTTATTATTTAGCTTATAATTTTAGAAGTTCAAGGGTATCATCCTGCCATTGGCCTAGGACCTCATGTGGCAGGGTGGTATTACAATGATGGGAACACATGTAGGAGGAAGAAAAGAGATCTTGAAACATGAAGCTCAAGAGCTTAGTGGGCCCATGCTTGCTGAGGCTACAACTCTTGAGAAAACTGCCAAAGGGTCCCTTGAGAACTGCTTTAACTGTCTTCAGTGACTTAAAGAACTTCCCATTGGGCCGACTCACCTCTTGGGTACCTGCCACCTCCTGATCCTGTCACTGTTGATTCTGTGATCAGTTGGATCAAGGATCCCACAGATGGACCTGTGGAGGACAAACCACATTCAAACCATCGCATGAACCACAGCTATCTCGGCTGGTGGTGGTTCTCCACACTGCTTATTTGAACCACTGCAGTGAGGTGACTCCAGGGCCTGGGTCCCCTTCCAGGCTAATTAAAGAAGACTCTCTGGTGGGTGGGCTGCAAGCATCTTACTGTCATTTTGTTGGGCTTCCTGTGGGGTTCCAGTGTACGGCAAGCTTGTTGAGAATCACTGGTCTAATTAAAATTATTTCTGTATGCCAATAAAAATTGTGTTTATTCCACACTAAGTGGCTGTTTTCTGTATCCAGGACTATTCACTTTATGTTTCCACTTGGAAAAATATAATTAAAATGTAAATTTAGCAAAGTGAAATTATATGTATTGAGAAGTAAAGATCTGGAGAATCCATTAAGGCAGATATTTACATATCTAGAATTAATGTTCATGATATGTCAGTTGATGAATTGTAAATATCCCACCGAGCTAGTTAACTGGAAATCAGTCATTGTTCAGCCAGAGTCTTTAGCAGTGGGTTGAGTCTTGGCCATGACTTAGATAAATAGTCAGAGGCATTTAGCAGAGGATATTCATGTGGAATGTGCAGTGCATTCTGTCAGTGCAAACAGTCTGTCTGGAGTAACAGAGTGATGTGAGCTTCCTGCTGGGAGGAATGGGCTTTGACAGCAGGATCTAGTGGCTTTCTGGGTTTTCTGGTCAGCACAGGAAGTGACCATGTTATTTTGAATAACAGTGGATAAAGTAACAAAGAAAACAACCTCAAACCCTGTCTGATCCTTTGTCTAGAGTTCTTGATCACATTAATCAAGCACTTGGCAAACTGTGGTTTATTGATCAATTCCATTTTTAAAATATGAATGTGTGTGTATGTGTGTCAAACAGTTATGTCTGTAGAGAATCAGAGGACAACTTTGGGTGTTAATCTATCTTCAAGCTCTGTCTGTCCTCTCTCTCTCTCTCTCTGTTATCTCTGTGTGTGTGTGTGTGTGTCTCTCTCTCTCTGCACCATCTCTCAGTGGCCTGCAGCTCACTGAGTAGGCTAGGCTGGCTGACTAGTAAAGGCCAGGAACCCATCATCCCTCTCTGCTTTCCAGGGCTGGGATTACAAGCATGTGTTCTGCTATGACTTGATTTTTAATTTTGGTTTTTTGGGAATCAAACCTAGGTCCTCATGCTTGTAATGAGTCCCCCAGATATCCTCCTATTTAAAAAAATAATAGCTTTATTAAACCACAGAGCTGTTCATTCATTTACTTATTGCTTATGGCTGCTTTTAAGTTCCTAAGGCAGGCTTGAATATGTATGACAAAGTTGTATAGTGCACATAGAAATATTTACTATGTGACTTTTATAGAAACTGCCCCAACTCCTGTGTTACACTGTCATATCACACATTTCCTGTTGTTGCTGATGCTTCTGAGTTGGTTTTATTCAGCTGAATTTGGTGTTTCACATACAAATGACTGAAGATGGTTGAGTTTTAACTGTTTCAAATGGAAGCTGCAATCAAGGAAGAGGAGTTTCCTTGTGTATTAGTTACTTTTTTGTTGTGACCAAGGCAATCTGTAAAAGAAAGCATGTAATTGGACTATGGTTTCAGAGGGTTAGAGACTGTGATGGTAGAGTGAAGGGATCGTGGAGGAACAGCTGAGAACTCACATCCCAAACTGTAATTTCAGAGGTGTCCCCCAACGACACCTCTACACCAATGACACACCTCCTAATCCTTCCCAAACAGTTCTACCAACAGGGACCAAGCATTCAAAGACAGGAGCCTATGGGGTCGTTGTCATTCAAACCACCACTCTATGGCAACTCTGCAGGTGCTGCCGGTCATCCACCATGTTGTCTTTCATCACAGTTCTTGCTGTTGGTCTCCCTTGGGTTGGTCATGTTGTAACCAACAGCTAAAGAACTTGGCCCATGATGGTTTTCCCTGCAGTCACAGGAGACAGACTTCCACACACCTTGTTTATTAACAGATCTGGGAATGGAAGTTTGAAGATGGGATGTCTTCAACCCTTATTTAAATTTGTTTAAAATAAATTGTTGAAGACAGTAGAGGTCCACAGAGCAAGTATGTTTGGCTCAGTTTCCCTGGTCTCAATACAGAGGCCTCTGAGCTACCAGCCACCTCTTATCCTAGGGGATCTGAATGCTGGTGAAAACCCTCATGAATTTGCTGAAAAAGGCATACTTGCAAATAAAAAATTATAAACAGTTCTAGTTTTCTACAATTTTAACTTCCCTTTTGATTATGTTGAACTTCATTCCCTTGATTTTCATTTATTTTTATAGACAGCATGTAAAAGCAATGATATACCTATAAATATGCTATTCTGGCAATCATCAACCTGATCAATAGAACCACAAGTATGAAATAAGTCTTGCCATGTAGCTCAGGCTGGCTTTGAACCCATAATCCTGCCTTGGCCTCTTGAGTGCTCAGGGATTAGACATGCATAGCACTTCACCAGGCTGCAAAGTGCAATCTAGAGAATATGCCAGACAGATTCTCATTTTGGAAGAGGGCTCTGATGCTCTTGTAAATGCTTATCAATAAAGTAAGTTTCTTTTGTGACCACAGATTGTTGTTGTAAATTGTTTCAGGTACTCCAGACCAAAACCTTTTACACGAAGTACTAAATTTATTTTGTAACTTATGCCTAGATCTGTACTTGAAAGATCTGGGAGGGGGGGATGGGTTGCTGAATCCAGCCTTAAGTCAGTCTGTGCTGAGTGCAGGTATACCCTGCTTGGTGGTTTTCCTTTCCAGGAGGTGCTGTTTGGCATAGAGCGTCCGTTTCTATATTGTGGTGGCTTTAAGCACTGCCAACTTGTGAATATCCTGGCAGTTGTTACTTTTCTAGTGTGAAGGTCATCGAGTTAGTGAAAACAGCTTCTTAGCATAAGCAGGTTAATAAAATAGAAACCTCTGACACTTTGGACTGAGGTAGGAGGATGGTGAATTCTAGGGTAGGCTGGTCTATGTAGATTTTAAGGGCAGCCTAGACTGCGCACTGAAGACTTTAAAAAGAAGATCATGCAGTCACTGATGAGGAACTCTGATGGAAAGTTTGGGGGCTGGCAGGATGTGCGCTTTCCTGCTCGGCTCCGTGTCCTCACTGACTCCCTCTTCCTTTGACAGGTCAGTGACTATCTGTTCCACACGATGAGTAACAGCCACCCTCTTCGCCCCTTCACTGCAGTGGGGGAGATCGATCACGTGCACATTTTGTCTGAGCACATTGGTGCCCTGTTGATTGGCGAAGAATATGGCGATGTCACGTTTGTCGTGGAAAAGAAGCGCTTTCCTGCCCACAGGGTAATTTTAGCAGCCAGGTGCCAGTATTTTCGGTAAGTGAACAATTTTTAGTAAACAATTTAAGTTATATGTGGGAAGCAATGGTTTTTCTATGAAAGTATGTAACTTAGGTGTAACAGGTGGCATCCTGTAGCACGTGTGACTTCCTGAGAATCACCCTGTCTTTAGGAGCCGGCCTAGGCTTAATTACATTTTACCTAACATTGGCTAGAAGGAAATCACCAGTGACCTATTAATACGTGACTGTTTATCTTTGACATTGCTAAACAATAATAAAGCTGGTGCATATAGAGTCTCAGTTTTACTTGGAGAAGTTGAGGTACCTGGCTGAGGGAAAGTTTTGTCTGTTGTCCAGTGAAGGCTGTGTCTGACCTTGAAGTGAAGACTGAAGAGGACTGCAAAACCAGCACGTCGCAGTCGCGTTCCATGGTGTGCTTCTTGCGAGTGCGCGTTCTTTAGCTGGAACTACCACAGTTGGCTGACGCCCACTTCCACAACTTGCCGTCCTGTGCAAATAAAACACTGAAACCAGAGGTTTAGAAGTTGGCATGAGCTTGTCACCCTTCCTAAGGGTCAGTTTCCATGGCATCTGGCCTTAGCCTGGCCAGTGTTTCTGGTTCCTGTGCTAGGCATGGCTTTTCCTTTTCTTACTTTTATTCCGGTTCTATGAAAATGCTTTTTAAAGATTCTTTCTTAATTAATAATAAAAAATTTTGGCTTTATGTTTATTTTTCCAAATACTGTATATTTTATTCTCCTTAAAAAGCAATTGAAAAAAACCCTATATGTGCATGTGATCAGTATATTCTTTAAAAGACGTGCAAACATTTTCAGAAACTTGAAGATGTATTGAGCTGATGGAATACATTCCCCTCACTCATTGACCTTTTTGCTTCTGTGGTTATTGAACCTTTGAGGTATTTTGTGGCTCACTTGGGGTAAACCCACTTCATCACCAAAGCTCTTTTAGACTCTTATTGATAACACTATTCTTGTGCAAAGGAAAGTTAACTGTCAGCAGTCAGGGGAGTTCTGACCTAAGCCTTGTCACCAGAGCTTATCAATTCCCCGCAAGGGTATGCTAGCTGTACAAGAGGGACCTTTCCCAGTGAGCACTGAGCCCCTTTACTTATTACAGGAAAGAGCCAAGGCGGAGCTTTCCTAGACAGTACCCATTGATCTCTATTGATCTCCTAGTGATGACATAGACTGTGCATGCCAGTGTTTCAACCATGTTAACCCTGACACTCTGATTTTCCCCAGTGTTTCAGTATTCATTCCTGTATATCGTTAATGAATTGGTTTTCTCCAGTTGTGTCTTAAAAGAATGATTACTGAGTCAAAGAGTATTTACATTTCAGATTTGAATAGGTATGGTATTAGATTGCTTTCCAAAAAGAGGGGCCCTGCTGACATAGTCCCTTAAACGCTTCAGGACAGAACCTGTTTTCTTATCATTTGTGCAGCCAACAGAGGCTCCTGGTGTGTTTATCTCATCACATTCCTGTGGGGTTTTACTTTTTAAACTGCTTATGGACTGGGAACATCTTTATATTGAGTTCATTGTTCCTCTCAAAAGTTCAGTTCTAACTTTCTGTGTAATCTTGCATTCTCAGGCTATCTCATTAGCTCAGTTGTTTATGGTATTAATTCAAAATGGTTTTTAAATTATTCTTCTCGTTTCCTTTAAGGAATCACTTAAAATAACTTTCATTTATTCACCTGGACCTTTGAGTCACTAAGCAAATTTGTCATTAAGCAAAAATTATCGTGTTGATAACCATTACTTTCATATATTTTTAGCAAATTGGGTTGAGGTTGCAACTGTGTTTCTTTTCTGGTGTGCAGGGCATTACTTTATGGTGGGATGCGAGAGTCTCAGCCTGAAGCAGAAATCCCTCTCCAAGACACTACTGCAGAAGCATTCACAATGCTCCTCAAATACATCTACACTGGGCGGGCGACACTGACAGACGAGAAGGAGGAGGTGCTGTTGGATTTTTTGAGCCTGGCTCATAAGTACGGATTTCCAGAGCTAGAAGATTCTACCTCCGAGTATCTCTGCACCATACTTAACATTCAGAACGTCTGCATGACTTTCGATGTCGCCAGTCTCTACTCGTTGCCCAAGTTAACGTGCATGTGCTGCATGTTCATGGACAGGAACGCTCAGGAGGTGCTGGTCAGCGAAGGCTTCCTCTCCCTGTCCAAGGTGTGTCTGGGTCTGCTCTTGGTTTCTCGGCATGTGTTACTTTACTAGTACTTCCACAGTGACCACACCACAGTGGTCCATGCTTCAAAAGGTCCTGGGTCTCAAAGAAGTCATCTGGTCCAGCACTTGCTGCTGGCTCCTGGAGCTCTAGATGTTACTAGGCAATTGATTCCGTTTTTCTTTCTCTTTTCAAGGTTTCTCTGCTAAGTTTTATGTTGGACAGAGACTGTTTTGCAGGGTAGTTGGTTTTAATATTATAGTCAAGTAAGATTTTTGTTGTATTGTATACTGCTTTCTGATTTTGTGTTTCTCTGATGGAGAATGTAGCTAAGAATTCCTTTTTGACAAAAAGGAAAAGTCTTTAGGGCTAGGATACAGTCAGCGACACAGACAGAAAACCCATAAAGGAGATCTGATGTGCCAGGGGAGCCTCTTAGGTCCCCGCTGGCGCTCCTCCTCCTGGTGGTTTACCACTGTAAAACTGGGATGCTTAAGTCTGCCCCTGACTCCAGGGCAGTGTCTGTCTGTCTGTCTCTCTGTGTCTTTGTCTCTCTGTCTCTGACTCTCTCTTTTGCGTACTCTCTTTGTTCCTTTAAAGAGCTATGCCTCCCGACTTGCATTTGTATTATTTATTTATTATTATGTGTGATTCACTATCTCACTTAACTCTGGAAGCAAAGAGTTTTCAAGGTTGCCTCAGTTGTTCATGGAGGTCAGCCCAGAGAGCTGAGCCTGGACGCTGTGACAGTTCAGCGATATTGTGAAACAGAATATTTTGAACTTTTGATGCTGGGCTTACCGTCCTCACTTACACATGTTTGCGTTCCAGAAGAACACACATTCGTGCACACGCGCACACCTGTACGCACATACACAGTTCGTCATCTTCGTGCTTGCTCTAAAGGGTTGCTACAAACTATACCCACCCTGCGTGCACACCCAGAGGACTGTAAGGCAGCATATTAGGGTCCTTGCACAGACAGGTTTACTAATGACGTCAGTCTCCAGGTCTGTCAACAACCAAATAAATGATAGGGCATAGAAATACAGTGGAATTTTGTTCAGCTGAAAAGTGAAATGACGACAATTGCAGGAGAATGGAAGAACTGGAAAATCATAATAATTGAAACAAGCTGTACTCAGACAAATCTCACTTGTTCTCATAATAACCCTACATTGTATGTATATGTATATAACTATGCAAATGTAAGGGAGTAGTTGTCTTAGTTTTTTTGTTTTTGTTTTTTTTTTTTTCCCTATTGCTTTAATAAAAACACCATGACCAAAAGCAACTAGGGGAGGAAAAGGTTTATTTTAGTTTACAGGTACTCCATCACTGGGAGGGGAAGTCAGGGCAGGAACCTGGAGGCAGGAACTGAAACAGAGGTCCTGGAGGAATGCTGCCTACTGGCTTGCTCTCTACGGCTTGCTCATTGCTAATTTAATTTTTAAATTAAATAATTTAAAAAATTTATTTATTTTTATTAATTACAGTTTATTCACTTTGTATCCCAGCTGTAGCCCCCTCCCTCGCCTCCTCCCAATCCCATCTTTCCTCCCATCACCTTTCTTTTCAACCCAAGACCCATCTGCACTGCCCTCAGTGTGCTGGCTCTCCACCCACATCAATTGTTAATAAGGAAAATGCCCCATAGGCTTGTCTACAGGCCATTCTCACGGCGGCACTGTCTCAGTTGGGGGTGCCCTCTTCTCAGATGACCCTGGTGTGTGTTCAGTTGACACAAGCTAACTGACACAGTAGGTGTAGGCCATGAAACTAGAAAGGACCATGAAAAGGGAAGAAGAAACCTCAAGAAGGAAGAGAACTGGGAAAAAAGGTGTGTCTCTGTGTGTGGGATAATGGAGTACATATGACATAAAGTAGAAGCCGGGCTCTGGCAGGCAGAGATGGGGCACCAGCAAGAGGAGGGTGGTGACATGGGGAGGTGGAGCAGAGGGATGTTAAAACTAAGAGTGAAATATTGAAAAGATCACTCACTGTGTTTTAATTTTAAAAATTAATAAAGTAAATTTTTTTTTTAAAACAAGAGAAGATGGGTTATAGATGTGTGGGAAAGACCTAATTGCTTTATATAGGGGTCAGAAAATGCCTGAGTAGGAAGGAAAGGTGCTACTTTTTATTATTATTTAGAAGCCCGTGTTTTTTACTTACTTATTTATTTATTTATTATTAATTACACTTTATTCACTTTGTATCCCTCCATAAACCCTTCCCTCCTCACCTCTCGGTCCCACCCTCCCTCCCCCTTCTTCACGCATGCCCCTCCCCAAGTCCACTGATAGGGGAGGGTTTCTTTTTTCTTCCTTCTGATCTTAGTCTATCAGATCTCATCAGGAGTGGATGCATTGTCATCTTCTGTGGCCTGGTAACGCTGCTCCCCCTCAGGGGGAGGTGATCAAAGAGCAGGCCAATCAGTTCATGTCAGAGGCAATCCCTCTTCCCATTACTATGGAGCCCACTTGGACACTGAACTGCCATGGGCTATATCTGTACAGGGGTTCTAGGTTATCTCCCTGCATGGTACTTGGTTAGAGTATGAGTCTCTGGGAAGACCCCTGTGTAGAAAGCCCATGTTTTTCCAGAACTCACTCTGTAGCTCAGGCTGACCTCAGACCCACAGCAATCCCCACCTCTCAGCCTTCTAAATGCTCTGTTACACACCTGGCTCATAGCTGCTGATTATTCACACAGCTGGAAGGGGAGACTGGGATAGATAGGAAGACCAAAACACAAGAAAGGGAATGCTGCCTGTGGTCTGATCAGGCTCTGCTGTTCTGCAAGTGGCTGCGCTTGGTGCTGACTTTTTATGCTCTTTTTATCCTTTGCAGACAGCACTTCTGAACATCGTTTTAAGAGATTCGTTTGCTGCTCCTGAGAAGGATATTTTCTTAGCCTTGTTAAACTGGTGTAAGCACAATGCAAAAGAAAATCATGCTGAAATCATGCAGGCTGTGCGTTTACCTCTAATGAGCCTCACTGAGCTTCTGAACGTTGTGAGGCCCTCAGGACTGTTATCTCCAGATGCTATTCTAGATGCTATCAAAGTGCGGTCAGAGAGCCGGGATATGGACCTCAACTACAGAGGCATGCTCAGTAAGTACCTACTTGCCTTCTCCCCGAGGAGTGTTGTCGGCATCTTAGGCCAGTCCTAACCACAGAGCTGCAGCCATAGAACTCTGGTGCAGGGCTGCAAAGCACATGCAGGGCCAAGAGCACCTAGCTCGAGCGGCTTCCTGTGGATGTCTTTCCTGTCATTCTGCCGAACGTGATGCGCTGCTGCCGACTCCGCACAGCCATTTCCTGTCATTCCTGGACACGTTTTTTCATCTGCTCCTCAGAATGTCCTTGGACACTTTTTCAAAAGTTGCTTGTCACACTGAGACGTTTCCTCTTCCTTTTAACAAGCAAGTCCTGTGTTCATGCTGTGTTTCTGATTCTTTAGGCACCACACATGGAGGGTCTAAGTAATGGCTGATGTTAATAATGGTATTTTGTTTTTTCTTGCAAATGAAATAATAGCAGTAAACAATCATAACATATTTTCTGTGTCAGGACCAGGCTCTACATAACCATTCAGTTCTTCCCATCATTTGAGGAGATACATACTATTTTTTTTGAAAGGTTTTAGATATGTATATTATATTAAAAGATTATATTATATATTTTAATATATATTAAATATATCAAAAGATATATTTACATATATAAAAAATATATAATATAGAAATATATGATAATATATTATATAAAATATATAATATATAAATACATAACCAATATATATATCATTATATATAGTATATATACTATATATAATGTTATATATTATATATTCTATAATTATATATTCTATAATATATTATATTATATAAATTATATATTATAGAATATATAATTTATATATATTCTATAATATATAATTTATATTATAAATTATTCTATAATATATAATTTATATTATAAATTATATATTATATATTCTATAATATATAATTCATATTATAATATATATTATATAATATATGTTATATAATATACATAATATATAATATATTATATAATTACATATACTATATATAACTATATATTCTATAATATATAATTATATATACTATACTATATACTATATAAATATATAGCATATTTATATAAATGTAATATAATTATATGTATGTATGTGTATACACACACACACATACACACACACACACACACACACACACACACATTTCTGTCTTTATTCACACCAGAAGTGGAATCGGATTCCATTACAGATGATTGTGAGCCACCATGTAGTTGCTGGGAATTGAACTCAGGACCTCTGGAAGAACTGCTGAGGCATCTCTTCAGCCTGGAGACACATACTATTTATTTTTAACTGGTTGTTTTGCAAAGGAAGAAAATAAAGGACAGAATTAGGCAAATTGCCCAAAGTCACACAGAAGGATGACACACGGAGAATTTTATGTAGCTTATCTCTGTAGGCTGTACCTTTAACCATTAAACTATGCAGCATAAGTGCAAAAAACTTTCTTTTGATCTAGTCTCATTGTGGAAGAGAGGAGACCTGTGACAGACTTATCACAATAGTGTTGAAGTAGGTAAAACTCTGTGACTTCTGGAAAAGGTGGCTTACAATGATTAATGGGAGGCCATGAAACTCATGTTTGGTTGGAGTGGCATTGTGTTTGGGTGAACGCTGGTTTGGAAGATGGGTGAGAAAAATAGGCATAGTTGCTTGTCTGAAAGAGGCCCTGACAAAGAGCTCGATTCATTCAGAAGGCTTATGCTGATGAATGATAAAATGTCAGCATGACAGTTTGAACCAGAGCATGGAACTCTTTGAAAGTTGATTAAGATCTCCATCCTGTACAACAGGAAGCTTATTTAAGAATGTCTTGCATACCACGGTGGTGTTCTCCTGGGTGGTTTAGAAGAGTTTAAACTGGATTCAGGAAGATGTGTGAGGAGGGAATTTAATCTGCATAACAGAGTGCTGGCAGAGAAGTGAAAAATAACAGGTATAGACAGGATTCCAGGAAATTAGATCTTGGTGATGGCAGGGTTTTAAACTGAGGATTAGTTTAGGGTACGTTACCATGCATAGGAACAGTTCTGTTAACCCTCAGCGTGTTCCATGTCTTCAGAGTTGGGGAACAGCACTGCCTCTGTGCAGGAAGCTGAATGTGGTGTGAGGGCCTTCAGCTGGAGGGTTTCTGGGTATTTGTTAGTTCTGTTGAGGCTGGCCATTTCCTGCAGTGATTACTTTTTTATTTTGGACTGGTTTGGGGCATTTTTGAAACATTGCTGGGCCCCAGTAGATGTCCTTAGCCTGGACTTGGTTGCTAATATCAGGTCTAGATCTTTTCAGTTGACACCGTGGGCGCACACGCATACGTGTGCAGCAAGCGGAGGCCCGAGGTGAGCCCTGGCGAATTAGTCCTTAGGAGTCATCAGGTTGATCTTGAGACTTTTTTTTTTTCCTGTGAACTGGGCTGTGCGGATTAGGCTGAATCTGACTGGCAGCAAACCTCAGAGATTCACCTGTTTCTGTTTCCTCCAATGTTTTACAATTGTGTGTCATTATACTCAGCTTTTTTTTTAATGTGGGTACTGGCAAGAGTTTAGGTTCTCACTGCTTGTGTGGTAAACACTTCGTAGACTGAACTATTTCCCCAGTCCCAGCGTCAGACAAATTTGATTTTAAGTCCTAGCTTAGTCATTAGCCATATGATCTGGCAATAAGTTATTTGACTTTCAGTGTTCTATCTCAGTGTGGTAATAAGGATTACTTAATTTGTGTAAATACAGCATAGAAACTCAGTAAGAAATTACTGCTTTTAGTATTAATATGGTTTCTCTCATCTCTGTCTGTCATTGTGTGAATTGTCACAGTTATCACAGTTTTGTAAACTTTACTGACGTTTGGGTTTTGAAGACAGCATTTTTTGTGGTTTTACTCACCGATCTTTTAATGCGCCCATTCGGCACACTGACCAGCACATAGCAGTGAATGCTTGGTAGACAGGTTAAGGAGGCAGAGCTCGTGGTGCTCCGTCAGAGCTAGGGACAAGAAGCGTTGAAATCCGAGGAAGAGTCCAGAGAAAGGAGTGAAAGCATCAGTCCAAGATGCAGAGACCTGTAAAGTGGAGAAGGAATTGGAGAAGCAGAGTCGGCAAGCTACAGGAGCGCTGGAGAAGCCCAGCAGGGGACTGCTGGATGCAAAGGCACTTAAGGTGTCTCGTGATGGCACACGGTCAAGGCGAAAGAGAACTGAGAGGACTTTGGATGTAAATTGTGGTGAGCTTGTGACTAGTCCAAGGAATCAAGCCGTTATGTCTGAAAGGATAACACTTGTAATGTGTTAGTGATTTGGTTTGTGAATTGAGGTAAAAGGCAGTAGAGAAACAGAATGATGGAGATGTAGGAAACAAGCTGGAGAGGTCTAGGAAGCAATGGGAGGAGCTAGTTGAAGGTCAGCTTTGGCTGGAGTGGGAGGGTGAAAGGTGACAATATGAGTGTGTAATTTTACATTTTTCAAATCCTCATTTTGTACCCTCTTATATAAGCCCCTCCCCTTTGTTTCTATTAATAGCTGATAGGGCCCTAAAACTGGATTTGCTGAAGATGTGGTTGGGTCATGGATGTAGGTGTGAGGTGTATTTGGAACTTCATAAAGTTATGTTTCCTTGGAGTTGGTTAGCTGGTCAGTGAATGTATAAGCCATGAGTCTAGTGAGATTCCTAATGAAAGGGATAGCTGGGCCCTCAGGGATGATGCCTTTACCGTGATTACTGCTCATCAATGTTAAAGTCTTCATTTTGGAAAAAATCAGTCAGAGCTTAATATTATAGAAGTGTTTGGCAATCATATAATCACTGAGTAATGGTTAAATTTTTCTGACTTTCATCAGATTTAAATAGTAAAATTAATAATAAAAATGCTGTGGAACCACAGTACATTCCTAGAACATCTTAAAGAAACTGTTCTAAGAAATGTTATCAAACATTCAGATGATTGTATAGTTAGTGCACTTCTCTCATTGGGAACCCAGGTCTGACGCTGCAGAACTGTTCTTAGGCTGATGGTTTGAAGCTGGTTCTGCTTAGTTTGGATCTACTGGCACAGTCTGTGTGATTGTTTTGTTCTTTCCTAGGCGTGTATGTGTGTGCACAAGCGTGCATGTCTGAAGACTTACCAGGAGGTGCAGAGAGCCTGCATTGACACTAGTACTTGGTTCCTGAGCTCACTAACATTGCTTTCTTGAAGGTTGAACCCTCAGCTGCTTGTCCTGAAACTATACTAAATTGCAGATTCTATCATTTTTAAAAGGGGTGAGGGGTAATCCAGAAGATGTTTTCACTCAGTAAAGATGGTTGACCCCTTTAGAAGGTAGTTTATATGAGCTTTATGCATGTATAATAAGTATTTATCTATACAGTTAGGGAAAAGAAGTAAACTTTTCAATGAAATTACTTTTTTTTCCTTAGGCTGTTTGAACTGCCTCTGCTCCTTCCCTTAACATTTAGTCTTATCTTAGCTCTGGAGATGTGCTGTCTTGAAGTTAGTGCTTTTTCTGATAAGGCTGAGTTATACTTTGCTTTGTTTATCTTGTTTTAGACTTTGGGAAAGAGCAGCATGTTTATAGAAGGGAGCTGTATCATAGATTCTAGCCTCAGGATTTTTTATAGAGCAAAAGTCAGTATGTTTTTAAGACCACTGAGGTAAATTGTGTGTGTATGTGCACACACACACATTTTTCTAGTCACTAGGCTAAGGATTTTTGCAACTGGGTTACAGTTGTTGGTTTATGTGTCTAGGTGTTCACTAGATTGAGTTCTTTAAGAGTATAGCTGTGTCCTTTTTTTTTTTTTTTTTTTTTTTTTTTTTTTTTTTTTTGCCTGTGGTCATCTTGCACCTGGCACAGTACGGTGACTCTGAATCAAGACATACATATATACATACACACACACACACATATGACTAAATGAGTCCCAGTTTCTAGACTAGTATTTAAGTCTTTCTCCCCATCACATAAACTCAGAACAATGGATCTTTTAAAGCTCTTGGCTTCCCTTTGCTGTTGTATATATCTGGTGTGCATTAATTTGTAGAGGTGTTTAGAGTCTATGGGAGTTCTCTTGTCCCATCAGATGCTGAACACGTGGGGCTGAGTCTAGTACAGTGATTTGCACATAGAGGCAGCTTTGGGCACCCTACTCTTTAAGTTGCGTGGTGGTCCTGCTTAGCTGCATCTCTTCCTTGGTAACTTGCTGAATGTTGCCATGTGAAATGAACCGCCTTGGCTGTGACCACACTTAGGACTTGGGCCTCAAGAAGCAGACGTTCTTCCATAGTTTTTTTGTCTGGCTCCTTTTTTGTTTCTAGTTGTTGTTTACCAGAATTGAGAAATGTGGAGCCTGGGCCTGCAAAGAGTGGGTTAATGGGGAAGGTTAAAGCAAGACTAAAGCTTCGGAAAGTCATTTGTAATGACACAGTTGTAAGGGAGTATTGTGGGAGGCAGGAGAGTTAGGGAGGGGAGTGTAGAAGGTGACTTAGGTGACAGCGAGAGCTAAAGAGAATCTCGTTGGGCTGAGGACTATTGTGTATCCAAATCACTGGCGTAAATGACTGTCTCAGGTGTAATGTCCCAAAATGTGTTTAGGAATATAAAACAAAAACCCAGGGTAATTAGCCCAGTGCCTCAGATTTTGTCACTGTGTAGCTTGGTTTTAAATTATGACTCAGTGTCTGAACGTGTGTCTGCAGCCTCTCGCCTTTCTTTGGAGAATGTTGGTTTTAGGTGTTGGCATCTGTGGCACCTTCCTTACCATGAGGCATCAAGTGTAGATGACTTTGTAGTCCTGGAAACTAATCTCAATCAGAGAAGGGAGGGCCCTTGATGTAACCCCATCCTCCTCCCCCACCTCCTCCTTTCTAATAGTTGGTTTGTTTTTACCTACCTATAGGGCTATAACATTTATTTTTTTTTTCTTAATGGCTATAAAAACATTATAAATCATGAGTGTAAAGAAAATTATGATTGCTATTTATGATCAGTCTCTGCTGCTGCCTTATTTTTTGAGATTTCTGCTCTTTATGGATAGAAAGAAGTAGGACTAAGAGTACTTATGGTTTGAATATTTTTGTAATTTAAATTTTTCCAGGATTACTTTAAAAAAAATCATCATTTACCTATAGATTTTGAAGGACAAAGACCTTGGAGTTGTATTTTTATCTAGCAGGGGAGTCACATTCTAGTTGCCATGAGGGAATTTCCACTTGTATAAATGATCTTCATGTCTGAGTGAAATATGCTCTCGGGGAATGAGCCTGTGGAGAATGTCTAGAAAGCGCTCAAGTACTCTTGAAATAAACCTCAAAAGAAGACTTCAACTTGTGATAAACTTTCATTTCTATTTTAGATTCCAGTTATAATCATTTGAAAGTCTTGTGCCTGGCATGTTATTCAGAGTTTGATAGGTTTTAGTACTGAAGAAATCTTATTTTAAGAGAAACCAAAGGTTGCTCTAGTTTCTAAGCTTGGAGGCTTGGCACAAGTTTCCCTCTTTGGTTCAGTCTTAACTTGTGCTTTTAAGAGCTACAGGTGATGGTCCCATCAGAATTTGCTCATGAAGGAGGGGCAGAGCCTAATGCAAGCAGTGGGCCCCCTGAACTCCTCAGTCTGACATCAGCTCTGCTGCTTGCTGGGCAGTAAGTTTCTTGGGTTTTGTCTGTAATGGCTGCAGTGTTGGACTGTGTTCTGAGGATGAAGATGAGGATCAAATCAAAGGACTTAATATATGTAAAGTGCTTGCGGCAGTGTCTGTGGAGAATACAGATAATGATCATAACTGACCGTGGAAAGCTCTGTTGTTGCCTCAGCTGCCCAGCATTGCTGTGTTGTTTTGCTGAGTTGCTTTAGTCTTTTCCTTTGCATTTAGCTACTTGTGTCCTTCTGGAGCCACTTTGACAAAACCGACTTCCTGCCATATCTGCTGAGTTCTCCCTTAACCATCTTGTCGTTGTGCACCTGATGTATCTCACTTTTCCCTTCGTGTCATATGGCCAGGTTGTGTGTCCACTGTGGGAGCTCAGTGTTTATGCACATGCTGCAAACCTGAAGAATTCTCTCGCATATGTGTGTGATGTGGTCATGACTGTGTCTTGAAGAGCTTACTATATGCTTTACAAACATCATCCCAGTCTTTACAGAAAACATGTAGGAGACAAGCATTGTCTCCTAAGAAACTGAAGTTTAGAAAGGGTAATTTCTCCCAAATGCCATACCCAGTTGAGAGCACAGCCCTGATGTACATCAGGTCTCTGAACATGCTTACGCATCCTCTTGTCTTTCCATGGACAATGTCAGTTTTAGGATATCAAACCTAGAGACACCTTCCTTACCTGTGAAGTGTGATGTGTCTAGAGGACTTCAAAGTCCCAGACTGTAATCTCAGTAGAGAGAGGAGGGGGCTTAAAATAACCACAGTTCCGATTTTGATGACAGGCTTCTGAATTTTTATCAAAACAAAACCAAAAACCTCAAGTGATGTGTATTTTCTCTTAAATAGAATCTTATTTTCTCAGCCAGGAAAATTGATTAATCTTGTCTGTATGTGACCAACAGCAATTAACATTGGAGCTTCTCCTTCTCTGTTGTTTGGGCACATACCTGACCTGTTTGCTTTGCTTTACACCTGTCTTCAGACTGGATGGCAGGGTACAGGTCATCTGATTCGTTTTTTTGTTAAGCAGATATTGGCGTCGCTAACAGAATGAGCTCAGCAGAGATGACATATTTGTCCTACTACTGTATGTCTAGTACTAACTTTCTCTTAACGTTTAGTGTCTGGCTCGCTGTGGTAGTGACATTCAGTTTTGAATGCTGAATGCTACCTTAATCTTCGTGGACAGTCTATACTTTCTATTTTCATAGACTTACCTACGCAACTTAAAATCAAATACAGATCCTGGACTCAGCTAGAATTCTAGAAGTTCACCTTTCCCTTGCTAATAGAGAATAATTAGAAGTAAACACTATACTTGCTCTTTCTGTTTTTACTGTAGTACCTGAAGAAAACATTGCAACTATGAAGTATGGAGCCCAGGTTGTGAAAGGAGAGCTGAAGTCGGCCTTGCTGGATGGCGACACTCAGAATTATGACTTGGATCATGGATTTTCCAGGCACCCCATCGATGATGACTGCCGCTCTGGCATCGAGATCAAGCTCGGCCAGCCATCCATCATCAACCACATACGCCTGCTCCTGTGGGACCGCGATAGCCGGTGAGTTCTTCCTGTCTCTGAGAAGCTGCTGCTGTATTTGCTGAAGAAGACCCAACTTTTTGGTTATCTGCTTTGGTTCCTCTCCCTTCCCTTTTCTTTATTTACTTTTAGAAGGAGGGAGTTTATTAAAGGAACTCTTCTGTTTCAGTTATGGTTTCTTTTGCTGTGATGAAACACCATGGCCAAAGCAGCTTGGAGAAGCAAGGGTTCATTTGGCTTACACTTCCACTACGACAGTTTAAAACCGAAGAAATTCCAGACTGGACCTAAAGCAGGGAAGAGGCACGAGCTGACACAAAGGCCAGGGAGGGGTGTTGCTTGCTGGCTTGGTCCTCCCTGTGGCTTGCTCAGCTGCTTCCTTAGAGAACTCTGGACTACCAGTCCTAGGAGTGGCCCCACCCACAGTGGACTAGGCCCTCCACATTAATCACTAATTAATAAAATGCTTTACAGCTGGATCTCATGAAAGCATCTTCTCAGTTGAGATTTCCTCCTTTCAGATGACTCTAGTTTGTGTCATGTTGACATAAAATTAGCCAGCACAACCTTCTAGCAAGGAAGTGGCCCAAGGAACAGGAAAAGGTCATTAGGTACTCAGTGACTATCTGCTTTGGTTTCACAGGTTTAAATGGCTTATTTCTTTGTAAACATTCTGCTATTTCTCTTGAAGGTTAGCTTTAGGGGAAGAGTTAAAAGTTGTATTTCCTTAAAAAACAGTTTTTGAATATTTCTAAAATTTAATTTTAAATATTTTGTGTGTTATAAATGTTCAGCTTGTGTTATGCATGTGTGCCATGTGCTTGCAATACTCAGAGGCCAGAAGAAGGCGGTGGGTTCTCTGGTACTGGAGTTCCACACGCTGTGTGTCACCACATGAGTGCTTTTAATCGCTTAGCACCTCCGAAAGACTAGCCTGTGCTCTTATCTCTCCAGCCCTTTTTTGTCCTCCTGTACAAGCACCAAATAAGTGTTTATTTTGGAAGCCATTGGAAAGCACATAGAAAATAAAAATTTCTAGTAATCTCATCACTACCCATTATTAAAATCTGTATGTATCTAACTTGTATTGTTATCTATCTCATATATACGTATTACAAAATCTTGTTATAGCTTCACAAAAAATGGATTAACCATACTAAAAACTTAACTCTAGTTTTTACATTTTTTTTCTTTTGAGTCAGAGTCTCAATTTGCCTAGCCTGATCTCAAACTTGCAGTCATTCTTCCACAGTTTCCCAAATTCTGGTATTACAGATATGTGTGCTCCACTGCACCCAGCTTTAATTTCATGTTTCAGTTATTACATTTTAAACATTGTATTAGTTTTGAAATGTTATCTGGCATCCTTCCATTTAGGTGAATATTATTTATTTGATTACTTACATATTGGATATTATGAATACCTATAAAATGCATATCATCCTATGGCTGAAGAAACTGTCTTTTAGTGTATAGCTAAGCATCTTTGGAAATAAAATCAAGTTGTGAAAAAAGTGGGGTTGGCTCCAGGCCATGATGTGAACCCAGTTTCCTAGCAGCTTCAAGAGCACGTTCATTCCAGCAAATGCCGTAGCTTGCTGGTCCCATGATTCATTGTGGTGGCAGAACTAGATGGTCTCTAGTGTTGCTTACCCTTGGCCTAAGACCTGCCCAACCTGCTATGCCTTTTTGGGTCTGGGCCTGTTAATTCAGTGGTAATAGTGTTAGGGCTTAAGCATTTGGAAGGAAGAGGATGTGTCCTGTTGGTGACCAACCACCTTGGCTTTTTTTTGCCATTTGAGCCATGTTGGAAGGGTATTTCCTAAGGTGAGAGTCAGCATTTGTATGTGCAGTGTCTCTGAGATCCTTGGGTGACTGGCTCTCTGTTTTGTTTTTATTAAGAGTGTATCTCGTGGGAGAGATGGCCCAGTAGTTCAGATCTCAGACTGCCCGTGTTTGATTTCCAGCTCACTTTGGGTGGCTTACAACCATATGGAACTCTAGCTCCATAAACTTGGATGCCCTTTTCAGGCATACACACACACACACACACACACACACACACACACACACACACACA